TTTCACGTGTGATCCGCCGCTTGTTATTTTACGACCGGTCAGTCTTCTGCATAAACGCGATCAGAGGTGGAACGATGTTTACTAAATTCGAAATGAAATACGGCACGCAATCGCGGTGTTCTCAAAGGGACCCTCCACCTGGTAGGAAATACGACTTCCTTGTTCCTTCGTTTTACTTTTTCTTTCTTTTTTTTCTTTTTTTTTCCCTTCGCTTCCACAAAGCGCCGCTCGTGGTGCAAGCAGGCAGGTTGAAGGCGAGCGAAAGAAAGAGAGGAAATCACACGCCGCGAGGAGAGAAGCTCGCTGCGAGAAGCGGCGCGAGCTTTACAGCGGCGATTCCGCGTGCAAAAGTCGTAAATCTTGAGGTTTTCCGTGTGTCACGCAGATGTTTATACGACGGCGCTATTTAAACGCCGCATTTAGAATCGGTTAAATCAAGTTTGGCAAATCAACTGGCGATCCCTGAGCGATGGATCCCGAAGCTCTGAATAGTCAATCTTTTCGAGGTAAAAAAAATACGTACTCCATAGTTTCTTCTTTAATAATATAAATAAAAATATAAATAAAGATAATAATACAAAATAATATAAATAAAATAAGAGATCGATGATTTATGAGATAATTTTATATTGATATTTGTATATCGAAATTTTTCTAAAAATTTATCTGAAGTAATGCAGAAATTGATAAACAATTATATTTGAACACAGATATTCCTCTTCTGAAGGTGCATTATGATTTATGGAAATTTAGTAGCATCACGACGTTTCTGCGGTGTACGTTACAGCCACTCTTTGAGCCGGCTCGTAAACCGCAGGTGGCACAATGGCGACAGGTTAACTGTGTAGATGCCGTAAGATAGGTCTGTCACGCGATCCTTGAAGGATTCACAATGCACACGCGCGTGTATAAGTGAGCGTAATAATGCGGCTACCGGTGTTGCCGGCGTCCTTTAAATTTCGCCCCGTCGTTTTCGAAACCCTGTGACTCGACAGATTCCTTC